TCCTCTTAAGCATAACTCGGACCCTGACTGTTACCCATGCTGAGTAGGGACTTCCCTCTCAATCACAAAACAGGGATTTGGAACAAGTAGAATAGAAGGTAGGTAATGTCAGTGTACTGATGCCCTGCCTGTAGGCTTTTATCATTTAGGTGTGGATGGACATTTGACCAGAAGTTGTAAAAGCCTGATGAAGCAATATTAATACAGTGACTCTCTCTCTTTCTTATTATGTATTATTAAATATTTATATTATGGTAGCACCCAAAGGTCCCACTACAAACATGGTAAGACACTACTTGCCCTTAAAGGCTTACACTCTGCAGACCTTTTTCTACTTGCTTACTCTTATTAACTTCCCCATTCCTGCCATTCTTTACTCTCCCTTTACTTCTAATTTAAAGGAAACCACAAACCACGTAACTAACAAAGCTGTTCCAATTCTTCACCAGATTCATTTGTTTGTACGCTGCAACCCTGTCCCCTACCCTGTTTTGTATAGTTTAGCTTGTAAACATTCTGTGACAGGGCTTGTATCTTATCTGTGTTTGTATAGCACCCAACAAAATGGAGCTCAAATCCCAATTGCCGCCTTTGGGTGCTATCATTATAGGTTGGGCTGGTTGCACTGGTTATAATTATTCAGGTTGCCCAACACTTACCATTTTAAGAACACTTACCATTACAAGAGATCCACTTCCTGGACACTACTGTACAAATAAGCGATGGTCACATAAACGCCACCCTATACTGGAAACCTACTGACCGCTATACTTACCTACATGCCTCCAGCTTTCATCCAGACCAAATCACACGATCCATTGTCTACAGCCAAGCCCTAGGATACAACCGCATTTGCTCCAAACCCTCAGACAGAGACAAACACCTACAGGATCTCTATCAGGCATTCTTAAAACTACAGTCCCCACCTGGGGAAGTGAAGAAACAGATTGACAGAGCCAGAAGGGTACCCAGGAGTCACCCACTACAGGACAGGCCCAACAAAGAAAGTAACAGAACGCCACTAGCCATCACCTACAGCCCCCAACTAAAACCTTTCCAGCGCATCATCAAGGATCTAAAACCTATCCTGAAGGACGATCCCTCACTCTCACAGACCTTGGGAGACAGGCCAGTCCTCGCTTACAGATAGGATTCCCCTCCCCCCCCAACCTGAAGCAAATACTCACCAGCAACTACACACCACACAACAGAAACACTAACCCAGGAACCAACCCCTGCAACAAACCCCGTTGCCAACTCTGTCCGCATATCTATTCAAGGGACACCATCATAGGACCTAACCACAGCAGCCACACCATCAAGGGCTCATTCACCTGCACATCTACCAATGTGATATATGCCAGCAATGCCCCTCTGCCATGTACAATGGCCAAACCAGACAGTGTCTACGCAAAAGAATAAATGGACACAAATCAGACATCAAGAATAGTAACATTCAAACACCAGTAGGAGAGCACTTCAATCTCCCTGGACACTCAATAACAGACTTAAAAGTCACCATTCTTCAACAAAAAAACCCTTCAAAAACAGACTTAAACGACAAACTGTAGAACTGGAATTAATTTGCAAACTTGACACCATCAAATTAGGTCTGAATAAAGACTGGGAGTGTCTGGGTCTCTACAAAAAATAATTTTCCCTCTGTTGATACTCACACCTTCTTGTCAACTGCTGGGAATGGGCCACATCCACTTTGATTGAATTGGCCTCGTTAGCACTACAAAAAGTAATTTTCCCTTTGTTGATATTCACCCCTTCTTGTCAACTGTTGGGAATGAGCCACATCCACCCTAATTGAATTGGCCTCGTTAGCACTGACCTCCCCCACTTGGTAAGGCAACTCCCATCTTTTCATGTGCTGTATGTTTATACCTGCTTACTGTATTTTCCACTTCATGGATCTGATGAAGTGGGTTATATCCCACGAAAGCTTATGCCCAAATAAATTTGTTAATCTCTAAGGTGCCATAAGGACTCCTCGTTGTTTTTCATTATAAGAATGTGTTTTCAGTTGCTTATAACTTTGCCATTCTTTAACAGTTTGGGTGAAATTTTCCATGCTGGGTCTCTGCCTCAGATTGATTTTTTTGGGGGGGGGAGGTGAGGAGGGGGGAGAAAATTTCCATCAAAAGAGTTCAGTCTTTTCCAAGAATGAAACTAGGGAAAAGTACGTTGTTTTGCCCATATTAAAAATTCTGGTGATGTTGTCTTTGAAAACTTCAAGCATAGCCATGCTTTGGAGCAGAGACTTGAAATTTGACATGGATTGGCCTTATTCTCAGGATTGTGACTTTTGCCATCCCTGTGAAGATCTGCCCAACTTTGGCCAAGTTATAAGTCTTGGAAAAATCCCAGTTTGCATGTGTTCAGTAGAGACTTGCTAGAGCTTTAAAGTAAAAAACTTACGAGATTCCATCCGCACTGAACCTGCTTCAGCCAGGGGCTACAGGGTTCTGAGCAGGACTTTCTATGCAGTTGCTGCTGTGGGCCAGGCTGGGGCCGGGAACAGAAACTGATAGCAGTGAGATCATCTCTCCTGTGCAGTCACTGATGTCCCAGCTGGGCCCAGGCAGCATAGAGGAGGAAGCAGCTGGATTCAAATACACAGGAGACAAGAGCCAGATCCAAGGGTGGAGAGAAGGAGATTGGGACAAGGAGCCTTAGTGGGAGAGGGAAACTAGGGGTGGGAGGGAGAGTGGAATTAGTTGGGCAAGGAGACAGTCTGGGAACCAGTTGGGTGGGGGAAAGGAGGTGAGGGGAAGAGACATGGGATCTGACGAAGAGTCAGGATACGAGGATGGGGAGGAACTGAGACTGGACAAGGATCTGAGGGGAGAACTGAGACTGACTGGACAAGGAGCCAGGTGGTGGTGGTGGTGGTGGTGAGGGGACTGATTGGGCAAGAATCCTATTCCAGGAGACTGGGACTCTGAGTTTGTGAGGGGGAAAGGAGGAAGGCAACTGGATTTGGGATGCGGAGGACACAGACGGATGGGATGAGGAGCAAGGAGTAGGGGAATGGAACTGGTTGGGCAAGGAGACGGGGGACAGAGTTGGGTGTGAGTGGGGGGGACCTGGGATTCTCTGAGCAAGGAACACAGACCGGGAATGGGGACTAGGAGGAAGACTGGGACAGTGAGTCCAGAGGGGGAAACTAGGGCTGTCTGAGCCCTGGGACTGGGATGGGAAGTCTGAGGAGTGGGGGATGGGACTGGTTAAGCGAGGCGACTGGGGCAAGGCGCCAGTAGTGAGAGAGAGTCAAGATGGGGACGTGGACAGTTTGGAGTGGATGTATCAGAAGGGGTCAAGCTTGTGGGGAACGGGTAGAAGACTCTGTGCCCCCTAGAGCACACTCCTGTCCAGAGGCTGGAATGGAACCCGAGATTCCTGAGTTTCACCTTTCCCCTGCTGTCAGCAAATATCTGTGAAATGCAGTGGCAAAGTGTGTGTTTCATGTCTCGCTAGTGCTGCTCCACATAGAATTAAGATTGCCTGTGTATCTGATGTTTCTTAACTTTTGAGTGTTTGACTTTGCAACTTTAATGTCCTTTTAACATAGGGTTTTTGTGTGTGTGTGTAATAATAGAAATGTTTACTAATAACAGCAATGTGCCAGTGGTGAAAAACTGCTGCCTTAAACACACAGCATGATATACATCGTTCAGGCTCAATTGTGCCATTTAAGCACAGTCACACCACCCCAGGGGGAACTAGGGTGACCAGATGACAACACTAAAATATCGGGACACATTGGGGTGCTGTCAGCCCCGCCCACAGTCCACCCCCACTCCTCCCAGGCTCCGCCCCCAGTCTGCCCCATGTCCCGCCCCCTTCCCGCTCGGCTCCCCCCCCTGTGCTCTTCCTCATCCCCCGGCCCCTTGCTGGCTTGCTGCATCCCTCCTCAGTCCACCCACCCACCGCTCGCCTCCTCACCCCATCTGTCCGCCGCTCGCTCACTTGCCTCGTCACCTTCCACTCACCTCTTCACCCCTCCCCCCGCCTGCCACTCACCCCTACGGCGCTGACTTCCCCTCTGCCAGGTGGGTGCTCGCCCATCCCCCACCTCTTCTCGCCCAAACATCCGCCCTCGCTCCGCCCCCATTCCACCCTCTTCCCCCAAGTCCCCATCCCTGCCCTGCCTCTTCTCCACCTCCTCCCCTGAGCGCGCCGCGTCCCCGCTCCTCCCCCCTCCCTCCTGGAAAGCGCTACGTGCCGCCAAACAGAGGTTAGGCAGCGGGAAGCGCTGGCGGGGGGGAGGAGCAGGGACCCGGCATGCTGGGGGGAGGGAGGGAGAAGGAGGTGAGGAGGGGGAGCTTGGCTGCAATTTTTCCCCGTGGGTGCTCCAACCCTGGAGCACCCACGGAGTCGGCGCCTCCCTCCCGCTCGCCTCCTTACCTGAATATCAGGACAAATGGCGTCCTGATCGTACATTGATCAGGATGCGGGACAAAGGGTTAAATATTGGGACAGTCCCAATTTTATTGGGACATCTGGTCACCCTAGGGGGAACACCAGGAGGCACTGTGCAGTCTGCCTTCCTGAGATGCTTGACATATACAGGTTGTTCACTGCTGTACACATTTATGAGGCTAGCCAGGGTGTGTGTGTTTCTCCCAATAGAAATAGAAATGTAGTCACCCCTAAACTCCAATTCTGTTTGACCCTTCAGTGGGACGGCTCTTTATGCTCTTCTTACTGCACCTCACTCTGCATCCGTGTCCTAGCCGGGCACAATCTAGCCCTTTCTGAAGTTAATAGCAATAATGTGCTGAATTGCTTTGAGTATATTGTCTATGGGACCATACTTACTTTGTTGCAAGTACCTTGCATGACTATGACCTACCCTAGTTATCCATGTTTCCAGTTCTGGTAACACAGTTGCCTTTGTCATTAGATACTTTGCATTGCAAACTGGAATCATTTAAATGGTGTTTTTTGTAGCTGTAGAAATACTGACTTTTTTGTGTCTTTATTTACAGCTTTTACGAGAATTGAAGCACCCCAATGTGATTGCATTACAGAAGGTTTTCCTTTCTCACAGTGATAGAAAGGTTTGGCTGCTGTTTGATTATGCCGAACATGATTTGTGGGTAAGTGCAATTTTCCTGTATTTTTGAAATATTTATACAGCATTCATATGTGACACTGAGATGTGTCTGTATGTAATATAGTTAAGGTTGTAACTGAGGATCTATTATAATCTCAATTTTGGCCTTCCCTCTAATATCCATGAAAAATGCCATATCAGCCTCAAAAATGGAGATTAGATTTGAAGGCAAAATTGAATATGCCTACCATATTTGAAGGGAATAGTTTATGGGGTTCCCAAATTGTCACCCTAAAATAGAAGTGTGAAGAAGCTTTCCATGCTTTCTTTTGGCTACTTTTGTTACAAAAATTAAGTGAGAGAGAGATTAGTTTCCTGGCCTCCCTCATCAATATCTAGTGCGGAAAACCAAAATCCAGTTGTTTTATACACTAATTTCAACGTTTATTAACGTCTGAATTTGTTATGTTGCTATGAGTGAGGCCTGTTCTATTGAGTTTAGAGTAGGATATGAAATGATTTCTGGAGATTTTTTAAAATGAAAACTTATATCTCTAGCTCATTTCCTCATAGTGATAGCATGTCAGTGGCAGAAAGAGAATTTTCCCCCCAAAAGTCTCATGATATTTGGTTTGATCTGTTATAAACTGAGGTTTGCTACAACATTGTGTTTTGGATTTGTGTACAGATTCTCAAGCTCCATTTCCTCATCCAAAATATATGGGTTGCTTAGATCTGGGGGCTTGGTCAGGCCCAGAAGAGAACAAAACATCCTAAGAATAATTTGTGGTGATTAAGTTCCTTTGAAAACGTTCTTGCCACTTCTGTCCTTGCCAGTGTCAGTCTCAATGTTATTATGAAGGCATCACTATTATGGAAGTTAGCATTACTAATGATATGTTTAATGTCAGTGGCAGATTGTTGAATTGCTTGTAATTACAAGTATGTTAGATAATGAGAGCTATTTATACAAGACACTATCAGAAGTTTACTACTAAGGAAAGTAAACACAGACTATGCACAAAGTAAAAGAAAACTTAAATCAGAGTGAATCAAGTCATGAGATTTAATCCTCCTGCATATAATCTAGTTGAATCAACTTGCTCTGACATGGTGACAGTCTTGCACTGAGTCACTTCAGAAGGTTTTTCATCGAAGTCAAGTGACGCAAAAAATGTGTGTACTCTACACAGGTGATAACTAAGTGTTATATTCCCATTCTACATATTATAATTTTACATGCATAGAATTTAAATAATTCTGTCCATCAGTTGAATTTATTTGCTTTTTAGAGTAACCACAAGAACCATTTTACTGCTGCACTGAGTGGCATGTTCAAGAACTCTTTTCACCAACCTTTGCTATTCTAATTTTTTTGTGCATGTGGTATTCATATTGTGTAAAAAAAAAACACCACATGGCTAATAGATGAGAAATCACTATGTTTTAATGTTCTCACCACTCCTTACGGGTCTGGCTGTTATTTAGTCATAGTCCCAGTTTAGTTAATTGATATATATTATTTGAGATGTAATGTTTGTTACCCTAGTTGTTTCTGGCCTCTCACTTTCTCCTCACTCTTTTCTGTGCAACATGTGCTGTTCAAATATTTTTCCTTTCCCATGCACCTGATCATGTCTCTCTGCTTTTTAATCTTTACAAGAACTCTCCTTCTTCCTCTGCATAAAATTAGTTACATTCAATACTCTCCATAACTTGGTTCTTGCCTAAACCTTTGGCCTCATCTCCTCTACAAGCCCCTTGTTCCTTCCATTTCTCCCAAGCATCACTCCTAACTTCCCCTTTTGTCTCTTTTGCTCACTCCCAACTTTGTGTCTTTTTTCATGCTGCCTCCTACACAGGAACAGCCTCCCAGTTAACGTACGTAAAGCTCCTTCACTCTCCTCCTTCAAAAAGCTCCTTAAAATCCCGCATTTTGTGAATCATTTCAGTAGTAATGTCCACTTGTTTCTGTGTTGTGGTGTTTTGCATTTCCTGTGCTGCACAACTTGGGCCCTTATACCTTTTGGGGAAGAGAACTTACTTGTTTTGCATAGGATTTTTACTGAACAGCACTATATACTCTCACAGCATTAGCCAAAACAAAATAAGTATATTTAATGCCTATATCCATCTGAAAAGATTTTTTTTTTTTTGGAAATTGTTGGGTAATAGATGTGCTTTTACTAAGAGAGATACACAGGTGACCAACATTTTCAAATTTGGGTGCCTAAAGTTAGTTACCCAAATCCATATTTAAGCACCTAAATTAATGTGTCCTGATCATTAAAGTTGCTAATCATCTGCAACTCTTAACAGCTTCAGTGGGAACTGTAAATGTGGATCACTTATAAAAATCAGGCCACTTTTAATTAAAGTGGTTATCTTTAGCTCCTATGCTAGAAAATTTTGGCCAGAGATGAATAATGAAGTATGCCAGATATTATCTTATTCTATATATTTTGTAGTACAATAAAAATTCAACCTATTTTAATGAACAAAAATGATGGGTAGAAGCCCAGTCATTAAAAGGGATAGTCTTTGGATTCAGATGATGATTACATTTTATTAAAATTCTTTTGTGATGGACAAGAACAAACACTACTTATTTTTGTTCAGCGTTTTTAATACAGAAGCATCACAGACCACCTCACATTTGGTGACAAATATATTAAACTACAAAGTTTACTTGTAATTTATGTTAGTCACTGTAATGTATCTTCTTAGCATCTGTGGTTGGCATAAGGAAGAGGTGAAGAGAGCTGTAATAACTTAAAAACATTTGACTAAGTATGTATCAATATTTGTATTATCCCTCCCTGCAGACATATTAACTACCCACTCATTAGCTAATATAATCATACTGAATCCCCAAAATACCTCCCAAATTTTACCAGACAGGCAAAACAAAATCCACATGATTTGAGGAAAGCATGCTTGTTTAGAGATGAACTTTGGCCATGTAGCAATTCATCGAACCAATACAATAGTAATACTCGGTTTTATACTTTAATTCCAAAATCCTTAATATAATCCACATATGGCTTCCATATGTTTTTAAATTCTGTCCTGTGTCCTTTCAATCTGTCTTTCAAATGATGCAATCTGAGGTAAGGTGAGCCAACGTGGCACACTCCGGGGAAGAGACGGGGGAGGGGAGTGCTTGGCTGCCGGCGGAGCCTGCCCTGCAGCCGGAGCCAGCAGGACCAAGCTTCTGCCCGCTGCCCCCGCAGGAGAGAGTGGGGGGCGGAGAACAGCGGGCCGGGGCCCCTTTGGACCATGGCCCGGCGCCATGGCGCCAATTGACCAATGATAAATCCGGTATTGCTCTCTTGCTGTTTTATAATTAAGGAACTTTGTTGACCTATTCTGTTTTCATATAATTTTCCTTATTCTGTCTTAGTTTAAGGTTTTATTCTGCTGCCTGTCACTTCCTTTGTGGGTCATAAGCATTTTATGACATCACTTTTAAAATTTATAAGAAACAAATTAAATGATGGCCACTACATTCAACATTTTTTAGTAACTTTTTTTTTTAAAGACCATAGATGAGATCTGGCTAGAGATGTGGTTTTTATTGGCAAAGGTTATGTATTTATAACCTTCCAGCAGGTCAGAAATGTGTAGGATTCCCAGCTACACCAATAAACCTTTATGCCATTGTAACCCACACACATCCTGGGTTTGGTTTTCTGTCCCATCTAGTGGCACTGAGACCTCTTAGAGAGAGATTAATGAGTCTGCTCTATATCCTTAGTTAAGAGCTGGCTTTTAGCTGCAGTAGAGGCTCATGCGTTTAGCTCCAGAGGTTCCAGGTTCGATCCCGCCTGCCGACGAGCGGGGCCTGTCAGTGTTGCACCATCACCTTTTTAATATTAGTATTCCCTTTATATGCTCTTTGATTGAAATATTCAACAGATCTCTCCATCCTGTGTATTATATTATACATCCTTTCTATTTGCTTAACTAGATTCCTGCTCTTAAAGAAAATTAATATCCATTTTGCTGTCCTGAATTGGTGAGATATCTTTCCTTCTGTAGCTTATGGCACAGAGCTGATCCTCAATAAGTTTATCTGCAGATACCAGTGATACCAGTGAAACTGTTATAATAAAAAATTGTTATGCAATAATGTTGGATGTTAATCTATTACACATACTCTGCCTTCTTAAATTAAAGAAAAAGGTTATAAGCATGCAGGGATTGTCTTTAATATATGATTTTCATCTAGTAATAGAAATGAGAAATCCTATTATGCTCATTTAGTTTAGAAAGCAAGCACAAAGGATCCTCTTTGGATCCAAGCTTCCTAATTCCAATTGACTCAGCATTCAAATAAAGATTTACAATTTTACATATCAAACTTCAAGGAAATAGTCTGTATTCTTACTATTAATTTAATAGTGATGGTGAAGAGCCTGCTAGTAAGTACAAATAGTACTGCAAATTTAAGTGGATTCCATCAACATTTTCCAATATTTAAGCCATACTCAGATCTTGTGCAATTCCATTGGTTTTACTTGGTTACATTAAGTCTGATTTTAGCTCTTACTCATAAGGATAGGCTCAAGCAGCAACAGGTCCCAAATATTTTTACATTACTTAAATGTAGGCTTGGCAAGCCAGTCAATTGACCACCATGGTCAAGTATTGTCAAATATTTCAGCAAGAATCCCCTGATTCACGGTGGCTAAAGATTGAGGATTTTTAAAAAAATCAGATTTTTTATTTAAATCAGATTTTTAAAATTTTGTTATTAAATTCTCATTTGTTTTTAAAAATCAGTTTAAATTAAAATCTGAGTTTAATACAAAATATGTCAAGGTCTAAATTTATTATATTCTCTTAAAATATTTAAATAAAAATGTTGAGCTTCTACAAAAACTTTGAGTAAAAGGCTGCTTTTCTAGGTAAAGAAAGAACTGGGAAAAACATTCAGCTTTTGAGGTCAAGCTTTGTAAATGTGGCACAACAGCTCATGAACTGTATTAAGGGCTTAATCCTGTGGGGACCCAGGGGCTGTGCTATGGGTGCAAGAGACTG